TACAAATATAATTTTATAAATTTCTTTGAAGACTTCATCCTGTTGTTCAAAAGGACAAGCAACTGAGGCAATATACTCCGATATAGTTTGAATTGAATACTATGCGTGTTTCTATGACAACTGAGGATACTTACTGATTGATGTGCGTATACTTAACCATAAAGCTCACAAACAGTAAACATCTGGCTCTATTCACTGAGACAATAATCGATAGACGAAAGTCTAAAAAGGCAACTTCCAACAAATCATTTTACAAACTAAGCAGCACCCTTTCTGAATTTTACAAATTTCAACTTGGAATATAACACTTACCTTCCGGTTCTGTTATTTACAACAGTATGAATAGGTAGATCAACAAATATTCTTTAAAGTAACATAGGTCAATATATGATGGCATAAAGCCAGACACAATCTAAACGTCTCCTTTTGTATCTTACGAGGTGAATATGCCATACACCAATTTAAGATTCAGTTAGATACTTAAAGTAAACTTATTTAATACAGAATTACATAATACCGCAGTGCCCAAGTTCTACACATTCTACATTAACAGCCCGAACGAGGATTTTCAACATAGAAATCTAGTCAATGTGCTATTTCATGGGTGGTAGCCAACTGAGGAATCCAGAACGTGGGCATTTTCTCCTATGGGTGATGGTTATCACAATGAGACTGAGATTTATCACCTATTATTTCAAACTCTTTGAACCGTTCGTACTATGAACCAACGCTTCAATAGAGAACTAGCATTTCTGTCCAAAATATCAAGTAAAAGGAAATTAAAATTAGTTCTGATTTTGAAATATGTTATTGCCAAGCTAAGTAGTATTGCTCAGTAATAACATCTCTGACTGCAGAACTGGGTGAGTGGGTTTGAATCTCAGGAGGAACACGTGTTCTTCCAGGAGTGAAGATATGGCTTGCTGACAAGTGCCGATAAGCACGAAACCTAGTTTCTAAGCATCCTGACGACTGCCTACAACTATGTTAAAATTATTCAGAGTAGACAGTGATGGTGAAACACCTAGCATGGTGGGCATACTGCCAACCTGACTGATAGAATTCACTCTGTACCAAAAGAAGGACTAAAAGCATAACATTAGTTACTACTTCGTGTCCAGTCTAAGTGCTACTTAACTGCTTGAATGATTACACAGTGTGCAATTAATCAGAAATCATCGCACCAAAGAATTCTTCCAAATATGCGTCAAACTGATTTATAGCATTTCTAGTATACATATCATCTAAACATTTAAATTTCGTTTCAAAATACACATTTCTCTTGTTTGGACAACGTTTGAAATCTGCCTTCTTCAGAAAAAGAAAACTATAGAATCCGTCAGACAACAGTGAGCAAGACAGTAGGAATTTACATTCATTTCTACGACACTGGTTCGTATGACGTGCATAAATGATGAAATGAAATTAAGTTAATAGTGACTAAAGAATTTCCACTTACGTGGTGTGGTTTGAACTGCAAACATAAATTATATTGTTATGCAAATTCCACGATAAGTCAAATATATTAGATCACTCAAATGCATACTGCCAACTCTGAAAAGATGTAATCAGTGTCAGAAAGTAAAGCATAACGTCAAATCACCCTCAAGAGAATTTAAAGAACAGACAAGAAAACGAATAGATTAGCAGTGAAAAATAAGTGTGGCTCTTAGTCTACTTAAACATTTCACAAAGTCATCAAGAATACTATTATATACAACAAAACCAGGAAGCAAATTCCTGATAATGTGTTAGACTGTTCACTTGCAAACTTATTATTCACTTTACAGTGAAAAAAATCATTCAAACGCTAAAATTTCACCTAAATACTGTCGATTCAGTTAGAAACTTTACAACAGAGTAAATTTAGACATTGAAGAGAAATAGATAATTCTTACATTGGAAACAAGACATCCACAAACACCCTAAAAATAACTGTTTGTCAACTGTATTTTCTAACTAAATAAATCATAAGGTTTAAGTGTTAGTTTGTATGCATTTATTATATGACACCATTTAAAGAACCAGTGGGGACTAGAGAGTACTGTACAACTGTTTCTTCCTTTTTTGGACTCTTCGGTAGCGCACACCCATGACCTTCAAGTTAAGAGACGAGCTCGTCGACCATTCAGCCATTTTGACTGAATCCTATGATTGATCAGTCCTAACTTCTATCAGTTAGGTATTTTTAGTGCCATCGCCAGCTAATGTTATCTAAGAGTATTCTTTCTCAGTGGTGAGGGAAAGGGTGAGTGAGCACTGTATGGAGTCTCAAACTAGGACTAAACAGCCATACAGTTCTCTCTGGTTTCAGTGTTCCTCTCATGAATATCAATCCATTATCACTACTGATATCAGTGGTTATGTGTTAATGGATAGGTGCATTCATGCACAAAATAAAAGAAAGTGAAGTCCCCGAGACGTTCTCGTATGACAATTAAACCGTTGTGTCTCCAACTTTTAAATGACATCAAATAGATAAATTATTCAATAATAAATTGATAAATAACAAAATATTCGCATCCGATTGACAGTAATATCTTAACTTACCTGGTTTAGCGGGTGCTACAGGTAAAACAAGATGCGAATGGTGACGTTTAATACTGTGATATGTGTAGTATGATTTCTCTAATCTTTATGTCATAGAAACGGAGGTAATCAGCACTTCGCAATGCATTAATGAAAAATTCAGCGTCGGTGAATGCAAGGTGTGTTACTCTTTTACTTTTTGTTATTACTGCTCTATTTGATTATCTCTCCTAATATCATTTTGTTTAAACGAGCCTTTTGTCTGTATAATTAATCGTTTAAGAACCCCAATGTACACAATCAGAAAATTGATCAACTCTTAAACTATCCACACTACATCTTCACTTTTCTCCAGATCCTGAAGTGTTTACATGATCACATTCACATAACACCACCGTAAGAGTGTCATCTAACCAGTATGATGCAGAATAAGTCTATACTTGATAATTCTGTTTGACATAAGACGCTAGTAAAATATCACTAACCAAGTGACGTTGATAGCAATCATATCAGGATATTCACATGCAATTATGACTTATTTAACATAGTTCTATTTCGTCTTGATTTTAGTGTAGTTTTTTTCTTGCATTTATCGAGGACTGATATTGAGCCATTACTATGATGCAGGTCAGATGAACACAGTTAACCCGGTTAACCACCTAATTATATTGCTTTGAATTACTCTTATACTATATCCGCCTGTATGCAATGACTATATGCAGGTTTCAACGTAGTAATAGATGTGTTCCATATAGACTACTTCCCGTAGACTATAGGAGAAACGAGAAAGACGGTTGTAGCGAAGAAAATTTTCTTTTCGATGAATTCATCAACTATACTGTACTTACATTAGCACATAAATGGGAAGTGAATGAGAAAGTTTCAGAACTATTTCCCTCAGCTTAGACCACGGATTGATATCAGTTCGAGAACTTGAAAGCTTTTTCGTTAGCCTGATTTGGGACTCATCGGTAGTACTCATCCAGTGGGTTTCGAACCCAGGACCTTCCGGTTGCAAGGCAAGCTCGTGTGCCATTCAGCCACTGGGATCTGGCCCATGAATTTTAAGTTCTATCAATTCGTGATTTTAGCGCGATCACCAACCTGTGGGGGTCGCTCCAGTCGGGAGTGAGGGTGGAGTTCCCACCGATGATACTGGTTAGCGGTCGGGCTAAAATCACGAATTGGCATAAGTTAGAATTCATAGGTTAGCCATTGAATCGGGTCCCAGTGACTGAATGGTATACGACCTTGCCCTGAAACCGGAAGGTCCTGGGTTCAAAATCCAGTGTGAGCGTACTGCTGAAGAGTTCCAAAATAAGAGGGTACAGCTATCTGGTACTCCTGTCCTAGTTTTCAATGGTTCTCTAACTGATATCAGTCCGTGGTCTAAGCTGTAACAAATGTAATCCCTACAAACTAATTCTTGAGAACTATTTCCGGTAGAGGGTCAAATTAACAAGATTACAAACAGGGATTCCTTATTCCTTTACGTTCCCTGTAGAACCTAGGGCTTCAAGCTAAAGGCTCGAAATTTCGGTAGGAGTGGTGTTTCTTTTTACGGGGTGGAGTTGCTGGCCTCATTTCCAACCTTCCCTCTTTACCAGTCTTATTACTGGCTCATCGAGGTAGAGGAGTGAGTCGGCCGGGGATCGAACCCCGGACCACCTTCGTGGTAGGCAAGAATTCTACCTCTGTGTCATCGACGCACGCAAACGGGGATTAAAATATAGTAATAACAGAATAAACAGAAAGGTTGAATGAGAAAATAGTAGGATCACAATTATTGAGAAAGTTGACTTTTTGTACATTTAAGGATTGAAAACGTGGTAATAACAAAATAGACAGGATGTTCATATAGAAAACATAGTGGTGCGAACAGGGATTACAAAACGTAAAATTAAGAGAAATAAACAGGAAGTTGGATAACAACTGTAATACGATAATCACTATTGAAAGGAAAAATTGTTTACAAAAGCCATAGTAAAAACAAAGATTGAACGTATTTCTTCTGAACACATAGTGTTGACCTGAACTTAGGGATCCCTAGTGCCTCAGCTCTGCCCAGGTGCTTTGACCTAGGTTTTGTGGAATCTTGATCACTAGTGTAGTCCTTAAACGAACATTATTTTACTTGTTGTCGTTATTTTCCCTGCAATGAGTCATTGAAATCGTTTGTACATACCAAATGGACAAGCAAACACAACAGAAACCAAGTCTTCTCCTATCAAATCAAAATTCTTAACTGATCTCTAGGCGGATTCTCTACATCTATTACTTTTGATGATATGTTATCATGTAACATTTTAGCCTGTGATGACTATAATAGTTTGCAAAGTGGCATCCATCGATTGTACTTAAAATTCATTTCGAGAATTCCATGTTGAGAAGATTAACTGAATAACAAGCTATATGACAAGCATATGCTAAAGAACGACTCATTCCTCACTGACCATAATGTCTCAACTTACCTGGTTTTGCAGGTGCAGCAGCTACAACAAAGTGGAATTAGTCATATTAGATATTTTAATTACAATCATCTCTGACATTATTTTCACAATACTATGCTAGTTTGCAGCCTCGACTAGTTAACTAGCTTGCTAGTTTTCTAGCCGGTCCCAAGACAGGGTAAAGAGGGAAGGTTGGGCGTGGGGCTAGAAACCCACACCAGTGAACCTACACAACTGCTAGAGAAACTTCAATGCAAAGAAAATATATTAAAATTACAAAAAATTCAAACAACATTCATATTCTTTGCTGGACTCAGAGAAGCGAAATCACACAGAGGGCTAGTGAAAGCCTTCGGGAAGCCAATCAGCCAGCCGATGTGTCTTCTCTTGATGAAGGCAAGAATAAGAATGGGGACGTGGAATGTCCGTACAATGTAGGAGACTGAGAAGGCTGCTCGAGTAGCCAACAAAATGCGAAGACATGGCACAGAATTGCTGGGAATCTGCAAGAGAAGATGCAATGGATATGGATTGTCAAAATTGTCAACTAGAGAGTCGGCAATCTACTCCGGCCACCCAAACGACAACCACGGGCACACTGGAGCAGTGAGTGGCTGTAATGAGGTCGCCAGTGGCAGACGAAACCTTAATGCAGTGGGAACCAATTTTATCCTACAGAATCATGACAACAAGATTCAACTCAAAAGGAGGGAAGGAAGGTGACAATTATCCAATGCTACGAACAGTGCTACAAACAAAGCACAACAAGAGAAGAAGGAAGATTCCGACAGACAACTACAAACAGTAATGGACAACATCCCAAATAGTGACATCAAAACCCTCATGGGCGATATGAATGCAAGCCAAGCTGGGAGCAGATAATACAGGAAGAGAACTCACCATGGGTCGTGAGGTTCTCTCTCGGAGAAATGAGTGAGAATGGAGAACACTTCGCAGACTTCTGCACTTTCTTCAAATCGTGGAAAATACCCATCGGAAAATTAGATTGAAAAGAACAAGTTCAGCAAAGATATCTTTTCGGCGATTTCATTCTCAAAAGCTGTACAATCGCATTTATATAGATTAGTTTACATGGATACAATTATTATTTGTTTAATTCCACATAGTAACGAAGGTGATAATAATTTTCAACTTGATATGAAAGTTTGAAGGTACGAATATAGATTACAAGGGGCTTAGAGACAAGATTGCACTTTCTGCACTTTCAATGATTTGATGATCGGAGACAGCATGTACAAACACAAGGATATGCACAAAGCAACATGGATTTCGCCTGACGAACACAACACAAACAAGATAGATTTCATCTCAATACTGCTCAAGAAAGCGGAGACGCAGCCAGCCTGCTGGACACAAAGTCGAGAAGGGGAGCATATGTGGGCTCAGATGAACATCTTGTTAAAGGAACCTTCAAGGTGACGTTGAAGTCCCTGGAAAATAAATGGAGACAGACAATATTTCAAGTTCAGCATTCAGAAACTGAAGGACAAATCTAGAAGGGATGTCTTCACTACAGATCAAATCAGAGTGAAGTTGGAGACACTACGTGGCATCACTGAGGAAACCTGCGTGGAAGAACATTGCAAATCTCTGAAGGCGATATTCAAGGAAACGTGTACAACTGTTCTAGGAAGAAAGAAGAGACACAACAAGGAATGGCTCTCAACAGACACCTGCCTGGGAGCTAATAGAAGAAAGGAGAGGAGGTTGGTGAAACAGGAGGGTGATGACTCAATGGAAAGATGGGGAACAGAAGGAGAAGCTGAGTTCAATGTACACTCACTGAATAGAGAAGTGAAGAAGAGTGCCAGGAAAGACGAAAAACAATTCTACGACACACTGGTTGGCAACTGAAGAAGAACAGGCAGTGTGCAGGTAAAAGAGACCTCAGAACATTGTATCAGATAACCAGGTCTCCATCCGGGAAGAGATTAACCCAGATGATAAAACCAATAGATGTTCAGAGGAACCTGATTACCGAGGAGGAGAAACAAATAAAACAATGGTCTGATCAATTTAAAGGACTCTCGAATCGATCATCACCTGCAACCCACCCAGAAATAACACCAACAGCACTCACGTATTTTCCAGTGAACACCAATCCTCCAAAGAAATCAGAAATCCTGAATGCGATCAAGCTACTGAAGTCCATTCGGGAAGGCAGCAGGACCAGACGGAATTTCCCCCAAACCGAAGTACTGAAAAGGGACCCTGAGACTGTGGCAGATGTGCTCACGCCATTATTGCATGAGGTTTGGGAGAAAGGAGAGGTGCCTATTGATTGGAAGAAAAGCTGGCTACCTAGTCAAGCTGCTGGAGATGGGCGACTAACACCTCACTCTGCAAGAACTGGCTTGGAATCATGCTCTTGTCCACGCCAAGTAAAATATTAAGTCGCATCATCCTGGAGAGATTAAAGGATGCACTAGATGCAGTACTCCGCCAGCTCACTGAAACGAGCTGGATTCAGGGAAGGCAAATCATGAGCTGATCAAATTGCAACTCTACGCATCGTCATCACAGAACAAAGCATACAATGACAGTCAACTCTCACTATCTATCTGAACTTCATCGACTTCGAAAAGGCCTTCGACAGACAGCGTTTACCGAGAAGTAATTTGGAAACTACTTCAACACTATGGCGTGCAGTGCCAAAATCTTTATCAACAGTTGGCTATATGGCAATACTACGTGTCAGGTGATCCACAACGGAAAACTCAGCGGAGCTTGACTTTGAAGTGAATACAGGAGTAAGACAAATCTGGCTGCCTATGATCACCCACGATAATTTTCTTAATTGTGGCGGACTGACTGGATTATGCGTCAGAATGTACACAGGGAGTAAACAGACAGGAGTACGCTGGACTACCGACAAGAAAAATCTACAAGATCTGGATTTCACGTGTGGATGACATATGTCTAATGTGACACAAACTCGAAGACTTACAGGAGAAAACCAACAAACTGGCTGAAGAAGCAGTGCAGAGAAGACACGATTGACTACAGATGAACATAGAGAAGACGATGTTGATGAAGATAACCAACCAATGTCAACAACAACAACAACCATCGGCAATCACTATCAACGAGAGAGATTCAACAAAGGTTACCTCATTCACTTAGATAGGAAGTATCGTTTCAAATACAAATGTAACTGATGAAGATGTCAAAGCCAGTCAGGTAAGATACGCCTTCATCAACCTGAAACCAATCTGGAAATCTTCTGCACTCAAAATAAGGAAGATTCGGATTCAATTCAACACATATGTGAAGTAGTGAGTCAGTCAGCTCTTCTATAAGGGTCAGAAACTTGCACTGAGAGTGAGTCACGAAAAACATTTCCAACAAGTTATAGACTTTTATCAACAGTTGCCACCTTCTCTGGCTCAATGCTGAAGATCAAATGGCCGGCCAGCTGGCCAGAAAGAATTAGCAACAAGAAACTCTGGCGATGAACAAACCAACCAAGTGCCGATCGCTCAACAAATTTGTAGGAGAAAATGGAGATGGATTGATCAAGCATACGCCACTGAGGAGGCATTCACTCGAATAACATCTCGTGTAATTCAGTCCGTCACTAGAGTGGATCACCGATGCGAAGCGACGAGTGGGTTGTCATTGAGAGGACGACATGGAGTAGATGGTGTGGCGAGGAGGAAATGAGAGATTATGGGTAACCGTGGACCCAGATGAATGGGATGGCAGAAAATAGAAGAAAGTTGAGATGTGTTGTTGAAGCCCTATGTTCCACTCGGAACCCAAAGGAATAATAACACTAGTTTGCAAAATTGCATCCATCGGTTGTACTTAAAATTCATTTTGAGAATTCCATGTTGAGAAGATTAACTGAATAACAAGCTATTTGACAAGCATATGCTAAAGAACGACTCATTCCTCACTGACCATAATGTCTCAACTTACCTGGTTTTGCAGGTGCAGCAGCTACAACAAAGTGGAATTAGTCATATTAGATATTTTAATTACAATCATCTCTGATATTACTTTCCCCACATGAAAAATGTAGTCCATGCATTCTATATTATTTATTCAGAAACTAAGCACTTCATACTTTACGTCAATCTTCACAATGTATTTAATTTACCTGGTTTATGGGCTGCGGCAGCTGGAATCCGATAAAGGAGACAATCATTACTTTTATGTTTACCCAAAAGTTGTACTGTCATAACCAGGATTACTTTCATGATTTAAGATATAATACTACTAAATTTATTGGCTGAATTTTGTAACAATTACCTTCTTATGCTTTCATCACTTCATTCTCTTCAGTTCATATATGTTTTGCGGGATAGTTAAATGACAGTAGAATTTATCAAAGTATGCTACTAGGTTTTCCTTTGATTCAAGTAGATTCAGTGAAGAACTGCTTTTTTCAAGTGGGTGCGTACCATTGAAGAGTTTCAAATTAGGACGAAACATCTGCCTGCTACTCCCTGGTTTTTAGTGGTTTTCTACTTAAGAAATCACAGTAACAATTAAACAGTAGAAAAAATATTCACCTAAACAAGTCGAACTATAGATGTTCAGAGGAGATTCCCTCGCATAGCAACATTTTTGTTCACCATGCACATCGATGCAGATTAGCATGTGTATAATTATGCAATCACCTTATCTCTTAGCCTAATTAAAAACTACCTGATGTGATCTTCAGGTTGCAGACAAAGTGATATTGGTGTAACCAATCGTCAGCTATTCTTTTTTATTTCCCTGGCTTTCCCCAAGTGGGGAACATACAGCCTAAAGCTTTATGCTTTGAAATTCCATTGGCAGTGATGTTGTTCTGTTTTACAAGGTGGAATTACTAGCCTAACGCTTAATCTTCCCTCTTTACTTTGTTTACTACGTACTAAGTGAGTGAGGTTTAGGAGTAAGTCGTCACTAACAATATTGGTATATTGTTTTAAATACTATCGATCTGTCAAGACAACCGAAGAATTACCACAGAATCCTGAACTCTGCATACAAAAGAAGTTTGTTCAGTCACTAAATCTACAATGGTCCTTATCTATCCTAACACCAAATACGTAATTTTGTCTTACCTCTTTCTTCTTTGTTTGTCTGTTTCTTAATTGCATTATTTTCTACCCCCACCCTCTATTAAATCTCTACCCTCATGACGACTTTTGCTAACTCCATTTTCGTTTATTTTTAATTGAATTCTACTCAGATTATTAACTTAACTCTCATTCATTTTTCATTGAACCCTATCAATTAGATTACGTCACCCAACCTACTTTTGTAACTTTATTTTAGTTTCTAACCGATTAACGTCTTCTAAATTACGTAATTTGTTGTCAAAAATTAACAATTGCATTAACACATCTTTGGAAATATTCCTTTTGTTGCCAAGAAAAATTACTATAAATTTGCGGTTTGTACAGCTTGAGAATGATATCGCCGAAAAGAGTAACCCTTTGCTGAACGCCTTTCCTTTTCTATGACTGAATGGGAATTTTCAAATTGCTGAAACGTTGCAAAAGATGCTTAAGTTATAATAAGCATAAAAATGTAATACTGAATAGAATATGAAATAAAATTAAGGAGATTTCCACAACAAACTGAGGATCAATAAAACCCTGACGGTCAAGGTAAGGAAAGTGTCTGAACCAGCTTCTTTTGGATACATAAGTTAGGTTTCTTAATGTGGATACCACCAACCTCCACAATATGTAATAGCCAAACTCGAGGTAAAATTAAGCTTATCTGGTACACGGCAGATGTCTTTGAAGGCCTTATTTACATCAATTTTGTGTTCTATATCCACAAGATGAGATAGAATAGCGCTATGGATGGATTTTGATTGTCTTCTACTTAATCACGCACGATGATGTTCGAAAATTCAACGAAAACACGCCTAACTGTACGGCCTATACAACCAACTGGCTCCCCAAGGGAGCAGTCAAATTGTTAGATACACATAGAAGAGGCAAAATTAGGCAGTAGTTCAGCGAAGAGTCTCTTTTCGGCGAATTCATTTTCACAGCTTTACAATCGCAAGTATATATATATATGGTTATTTTGTATGTGTGTGTACATTAACTTTGTCAAACGAAAATAAAATTAATAAGTTTTTGGTTGAGTTACATAATACAAAAAGTATTATGAGGAGTTGGATGTTGCAGAAAGGAACTAATGGCCGTATAAGGAGTGCAATGATCGAACATTTCGTCACCACTGGTCATTCCATCTCAACAAACGCCTTCTTCAAAGTAATCTACAAAGTGAAGAACAACCTGCCAAAGACAATACGTTTCTGTCTTCTTTGTGTTGCAGAAGCCCTACCCATTCACTTAGAAGGACCAGAACTATGCATTCAAAAGAAAATTATTCAGCCACTTTTACTTTCATGGTAACAACCCTGTTGATCTGACTTAACTTTTGCTTGTTTTTCTAACTATTTAAAAGTCTTGTATTCCCTTAAAACTCTTATGTAATTCCGTATTTTATTTTGTTTCCATGTGCACCCTGAGTACAACTCTTTCATCAAATTATTCATGTTATTACGTAACTCTTCTTTAACAATCTTTTGTGACAACTCATCACTTCTTTTACTATACTCTTATATCAACATCCAATTCCTCTGAACGCTTTTCGTATTACGTAACTCCACCAAAAACTTACTAAGTGTATTTTCGTTTGACAAAGTTAATGTACACACAAACACAAAATAACTATATATATATATATATGCGATTGTAAAGCTGTGAAAATGAATTCGCCAAAAAGAGATTCTTCGCTGAACTACTAGTCTTCACCATTTATCCAAAAGGACAAGTTGGTTGGTTCAGGCAGTTCTCCCCCCCCCCCTGGCTATCAAGGTATTAATGATCCTCAGTTGGTTGTGGAAATTTCCTTAATTTTGATATTCTATTTACTGTAATTTCTTATGCTGATTATAACTTAATCATCTTTCGTGAACTGTAATTCAATTGATCTTAATTAACAAATCGATAGCATTTAAAACAAAACACCACTATCGTTAATGACCATGACTCTAGAATATTGTTTGTATATTAAGTTATATATGTGTAATTGTAGAACCAGAAGAGGAAATTATCGAAAAGAATATTTTTTGATCATTTTTTTTTCAAAATATCTGAATGAACGTTTTCGCTATACTGAAATATCCAGAAGGTAATAAAGATGGATTGGACATACGCTATGGAGACCGTTGAACGGCGTAGATTGGACCACGAATAGGGAACAAGGAGTTGAGCTGAGGTCCACGGGTGACATAAGATAGATAACGTGTAATGGAAATGAAAGCCTAAGGACAGTCATAGAGCCAGTGAGAAGTGATATCAGAGAGAGAGAAAGAAACAAAGAAAGATTACTTTGATTATAATCACATTTATCTTACCTGGTTTAGGGTGTGGCTCTAAATGGATTCATAAAACGGAAATATTCCTTCGTGAGGAAAATTATTATTCATTAATAATAATTTTATATAGTCTGATAAAGCGTACAGTGTACACTTTAGGTGTGACCTTAAAATATGAATGAATGCATAATCTGTTTAGTACATTATGAACACGAAAGAACTCTTGTTATTTATCCTTAACTCAACTTTGATTTTCCCATTGATTGACTGAACAGAGATATTTGACCTCTGCAGACATGTCAGTTGTTTATGCGAATGCTGCGATGATGCCTGAAGATTAAATTGAATTACTTTGGTGGATGGTAACTAGTAGTGGAATCTAGGATGCGGCTTTAGTCCTATTTGGAACTCGTCAGTTGGATGTACCTGCATTCCCCACAGTTTGATGTTATGCCCACTGAAGCCCGAATCCAATACCTATCGTTTCAAAGGCCAAATTAAATCAGAAATAAATAATTATTCACACCCGTTGTACAAAAGGTGGCTCTCATGGCCCAATCAGTCTAGTAGGTGACGCTTTGGAGTTTGAAACGATAAGTGCCGGGTTTGTTCCTCAATGGGAACACGATCACTCACCGGGAATTGCAGATATTTTCAGATGACCAGTCTCAAAAAGGACAAATTGAACATCCTCGATTTCACTGCTAGTTTCCACTCGCCAAGGAAAGAACTCGGATGCATACTATAAAACAGTATGTTAACGGAAATAAAGTTTGTTTGTGTTAAATTCGCTGGAATCTTATTGTGCTTTGTAGTTCAAAAATTGTCTCTTTCAAAAGGAACACATAATGACATTAGCCTCTTGTTAGGGTTATCTGGTGTATTATGTATAGTTTGTACGAAAACGTATACAGTTATTATTACTTAACCTGAAGTTATTCTACCCACCAAACCTAAAGTACGCTTTAATGTATTTTTCAAGTGTTGGTTTGCAGGGATTTGATTGGTTCCAGGATTTCATCATGAACTGACATTGGTTAGGATACCATTGGAAAGCCAACAGGGAATACTGGACAGCTGTTGCGTTGGCCTAGTTTGGGACTCTTCATCAGTAAGCACCCTTTACAGAGGTTCAAACCCGTGACCTTCTGGTTACAAGGCGAGCTCGTAGATTATTCTTAATGTATTTTGTTCTAAGAGCTGTTACAAAGCAAAACAACTGTAACGAGGATAAATGAATGATAACAGGAAAAAACTGAGGGTTTATTCGATCTGGGAGATCACAAAGAGTGAATGCACCCCACTAATAGTCTCCAACCATTGGTTCTTAACACCACACGGATCCTAACCAGGTAGCCTATGCCTCCCCACATGACTCAAACTTAGCCTCAAAGATTTCATAAACTGATGCCAGGGTCTTACCTAATAATCCCTAACTGTTTTTTTCAAACAGTTTGAATATATAAACAAGTAGCCAACCAGAAATCGGGTGGTTTAAACTGACTTGGCTATCTGAGCTAAGTCAAACCTGGTCCAGCGCCGATGACCTCGGCCAAAAGCAGGTGAAATGACCGCCTAGTGTTTAGATCACTTCGATTTGGCTGGCTAGCAAGCACTACTGGTTGATATGAGTGGTATACAACTGCTCATTTCAATCAATGAGTAGTATACAGATTTATGCAAATATGTTTGCTTTCTTGTCCACCATTTTTGATATCAAGCAGATTACATACTGTGATATGAATGACTTAGTTTCCAAAGGAAGACTGTTGAAACTTTGGACAGATCAGTATACAGAAAGCCTACGTGGAACGTCCAGCTGACAATCTTTTACAGTTAGCTACCCATCAATCTCAAGCGGAACCTAATAATATCTCTTGCGACTAAAATCCGAAGAATCTGCAGCCCTGAATCAGTAGAAGAAGAGATCACTGTGTTGAGGAAGAAACTACTTGAGAATGGCCATTCACCGAGCTTTATAGACAAACACATAAAGCCCAAAATGAGCGAAGAACACCCAATCGCATTGCCAAAGAAGGTGATATACATGAGTGTAGCGTTCAGAGGTACCCTACTGGCAGATATCCTAAAGAGAAGAATATCTAACGCCCTGAAAAAATTCTCTGCTGCTACATTACAATTAGTATTCGCATGCCACCCATTGTTCTTCAACAACTCCAAAGATTAATTATTGCATTTGACCACTTCTACGTGTATTTACCAATTTACTTGCTCATGTGAAGCGAGCGATATATATATAGGTCGTTCGATGCATGTTTTATCCAAAAAAGTCAAAGAACATTATCCCACTTGACTGCGAAAAGGTACCAGTGGATCAGTAAGGAGTGTTATAACTGAACATATATTCACCACTGGTCGTCACTCAATATGTAAGGAAAATCCATTCAAAGTCATCTACAAAGTCAAGAGAAGCCTCCTGAAGATGGTAAGCTTCAGTATACTCTGCAATGCTGAACAAGGCCTTAGCAAACCGGATGGAAAACCCTGATTTATGTACACGAAAGTTTTAAATAGACGAATAGTCACATTATGAGACCGATCCTCTGGAGCATAATAAGGTGAAACGAACAGTTGCTATCATGGCACGCAGTGAAGTAAGGTGAAGTTACTATCTCCAAGGTAGAATGTAAGCCATAGAGAAGAATGTAAGATGTGTAACATAAATGCTTGGAGTTATTCATATGAGGTTAAAGACAAGATTGTGTACTTCAGATGAAAGAGAAACATTTTTCTGCACAAGCAGATAAGGCTAAAATGTTAGTCAGTTTTCAGTAACTTCACTGCTAATATAAAAAAGATAAATACTCAAATGATATTTATTTTCTACTTGTCATCATCAGTTTCTCTTCCCTTTCTCATTGGAATTGTAGTAATTAGAAATATCAAAAGGAGAACCACTTAACTTACGTGGATTTGGTGCAGCTGAAACTACAGAGTTATTAGAAATATAACCAATAGACATACATCAAAAATGTCAGAACTGTATATGTTGAATCGTATTAATATATAAATACAAAAATATTTATTTACAGGTGAAAAATTGTCAAAGTATTGAAATTCTCACACACAGTTACGTGAACATAACAATGGACACTGTTGCTACAGTTAACGTCGTTGTTAGGGTATGTTCTAAACAAAATCTATATATTATGAGAAGCCAAACTATACTGGATTTATCTATTAAGGTTTCTAATATCGGATTATCTTTTTTCCATAGACTGAATAAATTTTCTTTGAGCTGTATCAAGAATACGCAGCGAAATAGATCTTATTCACAATTAAGTAAATTTTCAGTTCTATACTTCTGAAGAGAATCGGCAAAGCCTCGTCTAAAGAGCTATTACTAAGGATTGACTTAGTCAACAAATGACATTACGAAAATAATTATTCAAGCCTTGGTTTGCAGGGATTTGATTGGTTCCAGGATTTCATCATGGTCTGACATCGGTTAGGAGACCATTGGAAAACCAACAGGGAATACTGAACAGCTGATGCTTTGGCCTAGTTCGGGGCTCTTCATCAGTAAGCACCCACTACAGAGGTTCAAACCCGTGACCTTCTGGTTACAAGGCGAGCTCGTAGGCCATTTAGCCACTGGGACCCGATCCAAAGGCCAGCCCCTTAATGCCAACTTCTGTTAGCACACCATATCGTGCTACCTCTAGCCAATATCATCGCTGGCATGTATTTGTCCTCACACCCAACCTGCTGTACCCCAGTAATTCTAGTGGGAAGTCACGACCAATCCCATGCTAGGGCGAAACAGCTGTCCAGTACTCCCAGGTTTTCCAATGGTCCTCTAACCGATATCAGTTCTCGATGAAATGCTGTTACAAAATCTAGTCAATATCAGCATATCAGGGGGCTGATAATGACCCCAAAAAATTAATACAAACAACTAAAGGGTAGAAATATTTGTGCACACCAAACAAGTGGATTACACAAATAAATATTTCTTCGACCAATCGTTTCGTCTTCGGTACTGCACTTGAATGCACAAAATTTCTAATAAAGTCAAATCAGCCTCGAAAACTATTTTCTCAAATTTATTCTAAAAAGACTGACCCAGGGAAAAACTTCATATTCTCATATCCACATGGAGCAGACGTCAATGTTGTAATAACTAAAAGTCAGTTAGTTACCTCTGAAACCAAAAACTAACTTTCAAATTATTACCAAGCTCATTATTATTTTCATTGTTGTTTTAAAATGCATTTTAGGTTGAGTGATAGATATGCAAGGTTGAGATTCGATTCCAGGTCGATACCAGTTATAAACATGGAAGAGAAGGTTGCTTCTAAGGTTAGCAATATCACCACTACTAAAACTTCAAAGCTTAAAGCTTAAAACCTGGAATTCAATGGAATCAATTTTTTGAATTCTTCTGAATCTAATCTTGTCAAAAAAAGAAGCCAAAAATATTTACATCGAATTATGCCTTTCAACGTTTACTTTCGTCAACACTGTGATTAGAAATAATATTATCATATAGCTATTTATTTAATCAGAAGTTCGCCTCAAATGAAAGATGAATAACAAAAACTGACACTGTGTGTTAACATGTTAGTATTTCTAATAACTAAAAAAAATTTCTTCATCGAAAATGCTAAACAAATAGCTCACCATGATGGGGTCCACCTAAAATTCGCCAGTAAATAAGTTCATGTTTTAATTGGTTTTAAACGAATGTATATGACAGTGAGAGTTTGACAGGTTTACAAAAGTGTTGTCAACTAGCCTGTGTCACACCGTCAAAAATAAAACAAGGCTGATAACAGACCAGTTTACTCAAGCTACAATAAACAATAAGATATGCTGATGGTCAGGCTATTTGAGTATGCTGACTACTATTACTTGAAATTAAAAGTGTTCTCTGAGCTGGTTGGTTTAGTTGCGAAGCTTTCGTCGTCCTTCTGGACAACATCTTCAGCGCCATATTTAGCACAAAGTGAAATGATTTAAATTTCTTCATGAGTGATGTAATTGCGTCTCCTGGTAACTATCTTTACATATGTATTGACCATTTTTTATTGACTTGGATTTTAAACTTTTTGGTCACCTGATTTACTTTTTATTAGTTGGTATATTTCATCTATATTAACGTGTTTGTTAATTGCATTTTCGCTTGAGTACCAGGCTTCTAGGAATTCTCTGGCACTTTTCCTGTTTCCTCTGTCTAAGATTTTGACATGATCCCAATCAAATTGATGACCATAATTGTCTGTATGCATTGATACTAAAGAATACATATCATGTCTTTTCACGGCTGATTTATGTTCTTGGATTCTGATTCGAAGGGGACGCCCACTTTGGCCGATGTAATGTTTGTTGCAGTTCATACAATTTATTTTGTAAATGGTATTAATTTTATCCCCTTTTCCTGTTGGATCTTTTGGTTTGCATAATATCGAATTAAGCGATTTTACTGGTTTGTGTGCTATATCTATATCTAACGGTTTCAGTATTCTAGCTGTTATTTCAGAGATATTCCTCATGTATGGTAGAATGAATTTTCTTGTGGTCTTTGATGATGGTTTCTTGTTGGTGCTTTGATTCGACTTTAAACACTTTTTGATGAAATTTTGTGGATAACCATTCTTTAGACTACTATTACTACTACTACTAATGTGATGGATGATAAACAATGACAAATTGTAAATCTAGAACTTTTAACTCAAATGACTACTACTTCACATTCTTAAGTTACCTAGATTTTAATCATATAATCCTAACTGTCACATCAGTGTTAGTACATTTGTTGATACAAAGCTGCATTTATATCAATCTACTTCTTGTGTAATAGTTTTACTTAGAAATACTTAAATACGTTTCATTCGTGAACTTCATTACTTGGAAACCAAGATATTGCAAAAAAGTACATGTTCTGAAAAAAAAAACATTTTCTACCATAAAATCATTTGAGATTTTATATTCTGAGAAATTTGATTTCTCTATAACATATACATACACAAAAACTGATATTTGTTTCCATAGTAACAAACGGATCAACAGGACATGAGCGTTTTGAAAGCAACATCATAGATTAATTTTGAAATATTATAAGAATTTAGAAGAAAATTAACAGTGTAAAATAAAATGATCTTTATTATTATCATTATTATGATTATTATTGTACTTTTCTTGTTCTCTGAAGTTTCTTTAGCCATTAGACTGATTTCCCAGGGTAGGATCACTAACCTGACGACAACCCTTCCCTCATTTCTAGGATATGGAAAAGGCTATTAAACTAGGCGAGGTTGGAAGAGGGGCATCCGAGTCACATTCACATGCTGAGAAGACTATCGAGTGAAATCACGTGTCAGGCAAACCCTTAAATGGAACCCTAATGGGAAACAATGCTTTGGGCGTCCGAGGGTAACATGGAGGAGATCGTGTAAGAAGGAGATGATGGTTTATGGGTCATCGTGGGATCAGCTGTAGAGGACTGCAGAGTACAGGACAAAATGCAAATGTGTTACTGAAGCCTTATTCTCCACTCAGAACTTGAGGGTATACTGCTAAGTGGAATTCAACCGACCACGTGGATTTCGATAGGACTAGAACAAGCAAACTCTATGTATAACCGGTCTTATGACCGGATAGTAAACTAGTGAACTAACAAACTAGGAGGATTTGCATAGTCTTTATGTCATCCCTTATTCAACTATCCATTAAACAAAATGAAAATATAAAAATGAAACAAAATATAACTGACTGGTGAACTTAATTGTGCATCGGTGGCACAGAGGCAGAGTGCTTGCCAACTGAGCATATGGTTTCTGCTACCGAAACTTAAAGCCTCTACCTTGAAGCCCTATTTTTCACTAGGAACGTAAAGGACTAAAATAATAATTATAATAATAAGTGAACTTACTGCTAATTTCAGCCAAAAATAGGCACACAAATAAAGTGACAAATGTGATTGTATTCATTATTTGACTAATATAAGAAGGAAGACTTTATTTGTGTATAGGTGAATTCACCAACTCTAGCAGACTGATAATAGAATGGATTAAAAATAATTTATATTTATTACAAAATTATCTGTGTAAATAAAGACTAGTTTACTTTGAAATTATTTCATAAATGTCTCATTTTGTTTTAATTGTATGCATGATCAAGTTTCAATAAAATATTGGAAATTAAACAACAACAATAACAACAACTGAAGCTTTGAGATTTGTAGAGACTGAGATTCTATCTCATTTGTTTGTTTTCTTCTATTTGTGGTCCCATAGACGTAAAATGTAAACGGATTGCATTTCATAATTCAACTATTTGTAGTACTAAATAAACACAGATATGCTATTTCTAGTTGATGGTTGCGTAAACAAAAGAAAATTTCTGCAGTGTCAAATATTTAATATTTGAGTTAGATTCCTCACCAATATTTTAATTCATCAAAGATTTGGAGTATTTCGATGGATGGTGACTAGCAGAATGTAGACTGCGACCTGTTTGAGATTCGTCAGTTTGATGTACCTTGATTCGCCGCTAAAACTCCAATCCCGTGCCCGTCATTTCAAATGCCACAGCGTTACCCTCTATACCACTTGATCCACGAGAGTTGCATTTTGTTTAAGTGAACTTTTGTTTTTCGCGTTAAGTAACTGGACCGAAACGCTCAGCCTCTATTGACATGCACATCCTGGATGATTTTCATTACTAGTCACCATTCAACTAAATTACTTCCAGTTAATCCTAAGACATCATTGAAGTACCCTCAGTAGAAGCCAGCATGTCAACAGATATGCTGTGCATTTCGGTTTAATCGATCAACAGGAAAATTAAAAATTCACTTAAACAAATATTATCAGAGATATTTTTATATTTTTTGTATTGGATATTGAAATCTTTTCAGCGCTCAAGTAAAATACATGTTCTCTGCATTTTTCACAAACATTTCTTCTAAATCGAAAAATCAAACTATCCAAGCATACGTGTAACTCAGAATTCTTAGCTCATTGAATTTCTACTGTATTCCTCCTTCACACAGTGAATCATATAATCTTATTTTATTTGTAGACATTGATAAACCTTTCAGTTGTTTAGTACTCGAAGTATTTCGTCATTTACAAAGAAGTATAAAATACTAACTCATATTACAACGACAAAAAGTGACATAGTGCTCTTTGCATTGCTAGCCTAGATGAACTGTCTACCTTTTTTATTTGTAGTAATAATAATAATCTTATATTCAAGAGTCAGTCAGTAGGAATTTGATTTCGTGAATAATTCCCAGCCAGATATGAATGAAAACAAAACACGCAGTTCAGTGAAGAGTCTCTTTTCGGAAGCGAATTCATCATTCACTTAACTGGACAATCGAAGTTATATATACTTATCTTAGTATGTATGTGTGCGTGTAAATTAGGTTTGATCAATAAGAATAAAAATAAGTTAGGGTTACTTTTGTCAAGATATTTAAAAAGTGTGATCAACATTCAAATTGTAACTAGGGCATGGGGGTGAGGGGCGAAGATTGGTAAGAAGGAAGTCGTGATGCATTGTCAAGAAAACATAGTTATTAATGTTAATCAACACACAAAAGAAGTTGAATAAGCGCAATGCAGTTGCTTAATAAGATGAATAGTTTAATGACTGAGTTGTGGTTAGGATGCATATAGGAACAAAGGGAAATATGGAATTATGAAAGAGTTCTAAAAATTACGAATTTTATAAGGAGATAGAAAAAAACAAGCACATATACACTATGTCAGAAGAATTCAGCATGGTTGTTATCATGATAGTAGAAGTGCTTGGATGATTTTCTTTCGTCGAAAAGAGACTCTTCGCGGAATTTCGATTTGTTCCAAGTATGATCACGGCTTGATGTTAGTCAAAGAACCGTTGAAAACCAGGGAGTAATAGGCAGTTGTTTTGCCATAGTTTCGGACTCTTCGTCAGTAGGCACGCTTTGCCAGGGCTCGAGACCAGGACCTTCCGGTTACAAGGTCACCTAATAGACCACGGTGAGTGCCTACTGCTGGTGAGTCCAAAACTAGAGAGAAACAGCTGACTAGTACTTCCTGGTTTTCAATGGTTTTCTGACAGAGGTCAATCCCTCACCAAACTTGTAACAAATCAAATCCCTACACACTAACTATTGAAAAGTAACCTAATGCCCACTAATGAGTGACTACAGGACGATTTGCCTGGTGTTCTAGTGCGAAATCGTGACAAATGGTATCCTCTATATCGGTCGTGAGGACAAATACTCACTAACAACATTGTCTAATGGTTGCACTGAAGTCACAAATTGATAGAAATAGAAATTCATGAGCTGCTAGATTGGGTTCCCAGTGGCTGGATGATTCACAAGCTTGACTTGTAACCAGAAGGTCGCAGGTTCGGAGGCTGGTGGCTGCATAGTACCAATGAGTCGTGGAGTAGGGTAAAACGGTTGTCCAGTTAGTATTCCCCGATTTTCAATGGCTCTCCAACTAATACCAGTCCGTGATCAAACTTGAAACAATCTTATTATCCTTCTTTCCGACTGGCAGAGTTCGATGAATGTATATCCAGTATGCAAATATATCATTTTTGATTTCTTCATCCCTAATTATTTAAATGCATTTTTTTTAAATATATGCATCAAACATTTACGTGTTCTGAATTCATGTTAGGAGGAATGGAGACAAGACGAATCTGCAACCTCTAAGGGAGTGATTATCCAATGGGGATTCAAACTCGAGTCTACCACTGCTGAAGCTAGATGAAGTATGACAGAATATGAAAAGCAGCTCCACAGTATCCTACTGTTTGCCTCCAGTTACCCAACATCACTTCAAATTGAACTGCTATGATGAGTCTCCTGCTTTGATGACCCCGCTGCGAATTCCACTGACAGAATTCAGTCAGCACCAACGCCACGGAATCGATACATGGCACTGACTAATCCCTAGTGACGCATTCCTTATGCATAATGCCTTTGGAAATTTGTTTTTATATTACAGCGAAAATATTTTCTCTACTAGGAAAACAGTAATTAATCCTTAACTCACTTCAAGAATTTTTTGCGCCATTTTAGCATTTCCGACAGGCTATTGCAGACTCTCATCAACAAATAAATTCTCTCCATACTGAAGATCTGATGGCCAACCAGAAAGGATTAGCAACAAAGTACTCTGGTAATGAACCAACCGAGAATCTATCATCCTACAAATATGCCAGAGGAAATGGAGACGGATATGACATACTCTGAGGGAACTACTCAAAATGGAAATCGAATGGGAAACGACGAGATGGGCTGAAGTGCGAATGTGACGTGGAGGAGATTGTATGCGGTAGAGATGAAAGCTTATGGGCAATGGTGGAGCCAGCTAATGATGGCTGCAGAGAGCAAGCTGAAGCAAAGATATGCTGTTGAAGCCCTCTATTCCACTTGGAACCAAAGGAAATAATAATGTAGCATCTTTAGAACAAACCTTCAATTATACTTGAAAGAATCAGTCAACTGAATAAAGTGTAGAGACTGTAATTTAAACAGAGTATTCGTAAAACATTCATAATCGGATTGATTTTAAGGCTTAGTGTCACAGAAAGACAAGTTATTGCGTTTTTAACAAGAATATATTACAAACTCATTTAGGCAGTTATATGATACGGAGAGGAGATAAAAGGGTCCTCAGCAAAGGTAGGAGATTTTCCGGGAAGTCCCTTTTACAGTCTTAAAGTTAAAATTCCATTCAAAAAATGCAGTCATAAGTACCTAAACGTTGAACCAAACAAGTGACTTATGCTGACTTAGAAACACTATAGAGAATATAGAATACTGATAAAATACTAGACGATGCTCGCTCGAACTGATAAATATGCAGGTGTCGCGTCATTTGGAAAATATCAAAAGCTGCATTACTTTTACTGTAAGCCATTAAACCACGCTCTTGTCCCATTCATGCTTTTGGAACTGTGCAGGATATGTGGGAAATAATATCTGAATTTAAAGTTCCCAGCCTCTCAATACTGACCGCGTGTATTATTCATCTGTATAAAGGCAAAAGACTCTTCTGATCCCCTTTAATGTAAACTATTCTGCCATCAAACTTCATGCATACTAAAGTCTTTAAATTGCGCAAATCACTGCTATATAACCACAATATTTTGCTTCTTTGGCGGACTACATGAGATCCATCAACAAAATTCCTCGATTGTCAAGACAGATAACAACAACGACAACAACTCATGGTCTAGCTCATAAAATAGTGTAACATAACTGCCTTCTGAATCGTTCGCTTATGAGTTGTGATTATCCTAGTGTTTAAAATTTTCACTTACACTAAATAATTCGATTGAGTGATGCAAGACATGTTGCTTAGTCATTCAAATGCGAAGTGAACTAGAATTTAAACACACGTATTTGAACAACCAAGCAGCATGTCTTATACCGTGAGCGAATAATTCAATTTTCAACTAAAAATATTTCGAATCATACTTCGGTATATTCTAGCGATCTAAATGAGTAGTTGCAATATCCTCCTGTCGATCAAAAGTGTTCGGTATCCAGATCAAAACACTGGTTTCAAATCGCAATCAATATCTGCGAAACAATTTGTTCCCTTTATGAATCTCGACTGAGCAATAAGAAGACGTAATTTATCTGAGTAGTGTAATGTATTTGCACAACATAGTTCGGACAATCTAATCACAAGTTAATTGGTGGGTTGTGACTAGCAGTGGAATCCAGGATGCACATTTCGTCCTATTTAGGACTCGTTGTCTGGATGTACCTGCATTCTGCAGTGAGTGATAATGTTCCCACTGAGGCTCCAACCCAGTGCCCATAGTTTCAAACGCCAAAGCGTTGGGCCACGAGAGCCACCTCTTGACATGTCGACCTGAGACCGAGCACTTCGATCCAATCAATCGACGGGAAACTCTAAAACTGAATCAAATCTGATCGCACACCTACTTCTCATAAGAATACACATAAAAAATAATAAAGCGTTAAGTGGTGAGAAAATAAAAATAGGTCACGTTAAAATGACACATTGAAGTCAGAATAACAATGGAGATCATTAAACCAAATAAGATAGGTAATAGTACATCTATTTAATTCAAATAGGACAAAATGAGCATCCTGGATTTCACTGC